AAAAGACAAGATCCGTCTCAAAAAAAAAAAAAAAAATGAACATCTCACCCCATTCTGGCACCTCTCCCTGGGGGTAACTACGTCCAATAAGGTGGCTCTCTAACTGAAACTTAAGGAGAGAGAGAGAAAGAGAGAGAGACTCGCTATGGCTCATTTTTAACTTTTTTGTGGAGACAAGGTCTTGCTATATTACCCAGGCTGGTCTTGAACTCCTGGCCTCAAGTGATCCTCCTGCTTCAGCAACCCAAAGTGCTGGGATCACAGGCACGAGCCACCATGTTCGGCCCCCGACTTGCTTATTTTGAGACAGAGTTTCGATCTGTTGCCCAGGCTGGAGTGCAGTGGCACACACATTGCTCACAGCAGCCTCAGCCTCCTGGGCTCTGGTGACCCTCCCACCTCAGCCTCCCTAGTAGCTGGGACTACGGATGTACAACACCGTGACTGGACAAGGTTTTTTGTTTGTTTGTTTGTTGTCTGGTAATTTCGATTTTTTGTTTGTTTGTTTTGCCATCTTGCCCAGGTTGGTCTCAAAGTCCTGGGCTCAAGTGATCCTCCCTACTTGGCCTTCCAAGGTGCTGAGATTACAGATGTGAGCCACTGCACCTGGCTTCTTTTCTTCTGAGACAGAGTCTCGCTCTGTCGCCCAGGCTGGAGTACAACTCAGCTCACTGCAACCTCTGCCTCACGGGTACAAGCAATTCTCCTGCCTCAGCCTCCTGAGTAGCTGGGACTATAGGTGCCTGCCACCACACCTGGCTAATTTTTGCTTTTTAGTAGAGACAGGACTTCACCATGTTGGCCAGGCTGGTCTCAAACTCCTGACCTCAGGTGATCCACCTGCCTCGCCTTCCCAAAGTCCTGGGATCGTAGGCGTGAGCCACCGAGCCTGGCTGTGCCCAGCTGATTTTCAATTTTAAAAAAATGAATTGGCTCATTAGTGCATTAGAAAGGCAACCAATGAAATTTTCTTTTTATTGAAAAAAATTTCTGACCAGGTGTGGTGACTCAACGCCTGTCACCCCAGCACTTTAGGAGGCCAAGGTGGGTGGTCACCTGAGGTGGGTTCAAACTGGTCAACATGGTGAGACCCTGTCTCTACAAAAATACAGAAATCAGCCAGCATGGTGGTGTGCGCCTACAGTCCCAGCCACTCAGGAGGCTGAGGCAGGAGAATCACTGGAACCCAGAAGGCAGAGGTTGCAGTGAGACGAGATCGCATCACTGCACTCCAGCCTGGGCGACAGAGGGAGACTCCATCTCAAAAATAAATAAAGAAAAAGGTTTTCTTTGTGTGTGTGGAGACAGGGTTTTACTTTGTTACTCAGGCTGATCTTGAGCTTCTGGCCTGAAGCAGTCCTACCGCCTCAGCCTCTCAAAGTGCTGGGATGACAGGTGTGAGCCCCCGCACTCAGCCTTTTTTGCTCTGACTTGTTTTAAGCGTAGTGATGAGTTTGGGGATTTAAATACATTCTGCATTTTGGTGCCCTGCAGTAGTATCCTTACCGATATTCAGACTGTCCCGTATTTGGCCGGTGAGAGCCGGTGGTGGCACACACCTGTGGTCACAGCTACTCAGGAGGCTGAGGCGAGAGGATCAGAACCAGGGAGGTGGAGGTCGCAGTAAGCCGAGGTCACGCCACCGCATTCCAGCCTGGGAAACACAGCAAGACCCTGTCTCAACCAAAAAAATAGAAAAGGACAACAGGCCGGGTGTGGTGGCTGTAATCCCAGCACTTTGGGAGGCCGAGGAAGGCGGATCACCTGAGGTCAGGAGTTCAAGACCAGCCTGGCCAACATGGTGAAACCCCATCTCTACTAAAAATACAAAAATTAGCCAGGCGTGGTGGCGGGCGCCTGTAATCCCCGCTACTCACAAGGCTGAGGCAGGAGAATCACTTCAACCCGGGAGGTGGAGGTTGTAGTGAGCTGAGATTGTGCCTGGGCCACAGTGCAAGAGTCCGTCTCAAAAAAAAAAAGGAGAACATTGCTCCCTGTAGCTCCCCATTTTCTCTCCTGCGGGTCCCAGCAGTCCTGGTGGCCGGTGGTCTCCGTTTACAACGTCAAGCTTCATTCTGAGGTTTGACAGAAAATCCACATGGGAGCTCACTGGCTGCTGAGCTCGGGACGCACCAGCGCGTAGCTGAAGAGCTGAAGTCATCCTGCTCAGATGCCAGCGGAGCTGAGGGAAAGGCAATGCAGGCTGTGCCACCTCGCAAGAGGCCTGACCCGCCATCAGGGCGGAGGCAGGGGCTTCACTATCCTGCCCTGGCTGATCTCAGACTCCAGCGCTCAAGCCATCCTCCCCGCTGGGCCTCCCAAAGTGCTGGGATGGCAGGTGTGAGCCCCCACGCCCACGACTCTCTCTCCTCTGTGACCCCTTTTAATCCTCGCCACGGTCTGATAAGGTTGGTAATGCTGTGATTCCTGTTTTACAGATGCAGAAACTGAGGCGGGGAGAGCCCAGCAGGAAAGGCCATTCTCAAGGCTACGAGGGGAAATTCTCATGACACACATTCCAAGAAGCACGAGTCAGCCCTTCTGGAGCTTCTCCCAGCAGCCAGGTTCCGATGGGCGAGGCTCAGCGTGCAAGTGTGGGTGTTGGCTTGCACAGGGGACAAGCACAGGGGCTGCGAACCAGAGAACCCGGGACGGAGCTTCACCCTTGACACCGACTAACCATGGGGCCCTGGGCGAGTTACTGAGCGACTTGTGCCTCAGTTTCTGCATCTGTAAAACAGGAATCACAACATTACCAACCTCATCAGATAGTGGCAAGGATTAAAAGGGGTCACACACGAGACAGTCGTGGGCGTGAGGGCTAACACCTGTCATCCCAGCACTTTGGGAGGCCCAGCGGGTGGGTGGCTTGAGCCCTGGAGTTTGAGATCAGCCTGAGCAGGATAGCGAAGTCCCTGTCTCTATAAAAAAAGGCCAGGTGTGGTGGCTCATGCCTGTAATCCCAGCACTTTGGGAGGCCGAGGCAGGTGGATCACTTGAGGTCAGGAGTTCGAGACCAGTCTGGCCAACATGGTGAAACCCTCTCTCTACTAAAAATATAAAAATTAGCCAAGTGTCAGGTACCTGTAATCCCAGCTACTCAGGAGGCTGAGGCAGGAGAGTCACTTGAACCAGAAGGTGGATGGAGGTTACAGTGAGCTGAGATCTCACCACACCACTGGACTCTAGCCTGGGTGACAGAGTGAGACTCCATCACCCCCCAAAAAATGAATTAATTAAATTAAATTTTAAAAACTTAGCAGAGCACAGTGGCACATCCCTGTGTCCCAGCTACTCAGGAGGCTGAGGTGGGAGGATCGCTTGGGCCTGGGAGGTTGAGGCTGCAGTGAGCCTTGATCTCACCACTGCACTCCAGCCTGAGTGGCGGAGTGAGACCCAAGGCATGGTAGCTCATGCCTGTAATTCTAGCATTTTGGGAGGCCAAGGTGGCAGTTCGCTTGAGGCCAGGAGTTCAAGACGAGCCTGGGCAACATAGCAAGACCTTGTCTCTACAAAAAAGTACAAAAATTGGTCAGACATGGTGGCTCACGCCCAGCACTTTGGGAGGTCGAGCTGAGGGATCACCTGAGGTCAGGAGTTCGAGACCAGCCTGGCCGACATTGAGAAACCCCATCTCTAGCAATAATACAAAAACATTAGCTGGGGTTTGTGCCAGTGGCCTGTAATGCCAGCTACTCGGGAGGCGGAGGCAAGAGAATTGCTTAAACTCAGGAGTGGGAGGCTGCAGTGAGCTGAGATCACACCACTGCACTCCAGCCTGGGCGACAGAGTGAGACTCTGTCTCAAAACAAAAAAACAAAAACAAAAATCCTCAATGTTCCTGGGACCCAAATTCTTTCTGTCGATTTCTCATTTTCTTCTGCATTATTTTATATCTCAGGCTCTACCTCATGGTTGTAAAGTGGCTGCCAGGAATTCCTGAAGCTAAATCCTTGCTTACTCGCATACTTTCCCCAAAGAAGAGGGCTTTTCTTAGAAACCCCAGCAAACATTTCTTTGCCTCTTATTGGCTTAGGCTAAATTCCTATTTTAGGCCGGGCGCGGTGGCTCAAGCCTGTAATCCCAGCACTTTGGGAGGCCGAGGCGGGTGGATCACGAGGTCAAGAGATCGAGACCATCCTGGTCAACATGGTGAAACCCTGTCTCTACTAAAAATACAAAAAATTAGCTGGGCATGGTGGCGCGTGCCTGTAATCCCAGCTACTCAGGAGGCTGAGGCAGGAGAATTGCCTGAACCCAGGAGGCGGAGGTTGCGGTGAGCCGAGATCGCGCCATTGCACTCCAGCCTGGGTAACAAGAGCGAAACCCCGTCTCAAAAAAAAAAAAAAAAAAAAAATTCCTATTTTAAACCCATCACTGCTGCCAGGGGCACAGCCTTAAACCAACTAGGATCCAACCCCCAGTGAAGGTGGGGCTAATTGTACCTAAGCCACATGGCCGAGAACCTGCGAAGCCTTAATTTCCCCATGAGAAATCAGCATCGCTGGCAAGAAAAAGGGAATTGACAAACAAAAACGTCTGCTCTGGGTTGACATAAGGACCCTCACAGAACTCTGCGGGTGCGGTGGCTCACGCCTGTAATCCCAGCGTTATGGGAGGCCAAGGCAGGAGGATTGCGTGAGCCCAGGAGCTCCAGACCAGCACCTATGGTGCCAGCTCCTCGGAAGGCTGAGCGGGGGGGTTCACTTGAGCCCCGGAGTTTGAAGCGTTTTTTTTTTTTTTTGAGACGGAGTCTCGCTTTATCACCCAGGCTGGAGCACAGTGGCGTGATCTCGGCTCACTGCAACCTCCACCTCCCGGGTTAAAGCAATTCTCATGCCTCAACCTCCCAAGTATCTGGCACTACAGGTGCGCACCACCACAGCCGGCTAATTTTTGTACTTTTAGTAGAGACGGGGTTTCACCTTGTTGGTCAGGCTGGTCTCCAACCCCCGAACTCAGGTGATCCACCCTCCTCGGCCTCCTAAAGTGTTGGGATTACAGGCGTGAGCCACCACACCTAGCTTTTGTTTTTTTTTTAGGGGCCATGCTAATTTTCTATGTATTGTTCCAATTTTAGTATACTGCTGCCAAAATGAGCACGGCTTTTTTTTTTTTTTTTTTTTTTTTTGACGAAGTTTTGCTCTTGTTGCCCAGGCTGGAGTGCAGTGGCACGATCTTGGCTCACTTCAACCTCCACCTGGGTTCAAGTAATCCTCCTGCCTGAGCCTCCCGAGTAACTGTGCCATCATGCCAGGCTAATTTTGTATTTTTAGTAGAGATGGGGTTTTGCCATGTTGGTCAGCCTGGTCTCGAATTCCTGGCCTCAGTGAACCGCCCCTTTGGTCTCCCAGAGTGCTGGGGTTACAGGCGTGAGCCCCTGTGCCCGGCTGAGTTTGAGGCTTTTGAGGCTGCAGGGATCTGTGATCATGTCTCTGCACTCCAGCCTTGGGGAGGGCCAAGACCACGTCTCAAAACAGAAACAAACAAAAAGCTTGCCAGAGTCCCTGTTCCACGCTGTTTCTCTCCCCTCTAGGCAGAAGAGGCTGTTTTTGCAGATGCTAACCCTCCTTCCTTTACTTTCAGGGAGCTGAGGGTGAGCCCCACTCTGCCATCTGCCTGGCACACCAGCCACGTGCAAATCTCCTCCAGGGTGAAGGTGGGCAGCGTGTTCCTAATGGGTGCTTCTTGGTGGCCGAGGGTGTCTCTGACGGCGGAGTGCTCAGGGGTCCTTGGCAGGAAGGTTTTGAGAGGTTTGAGTCGAGGAAACAGCCTTGCAAACAGCTTTCGAGCTGAGGCTTGCTCAGCTGCTGCCCAGGATGAGTCAAATCCGACGCCAGAGGAGAGAGCAGGTGGGAGCCCTTGTGTCACAATTTCAGTGACCCTTTGGCAGAGACTTAGCGCTTCCTAGGGTGCCGCAGCCCAGAAGCCCTCACAGAGGACGGCAGAAGGCAGTCAGCAAATGAATGAGCTTGCAGCCTTTCCAGAGGCCTCATCAGCAAACAGGTACATTAGTGTCACCACAGGCCACCTCCACTGAGGCCCAAAAATCCACAAAAAAAGTGATATTAAGAGGCACAGCTCCGGCCAGGCGCGGTGGCTCAAGCCTGTAATCCCAACACTGTGAGAGGCCGAGGCGGGTGGATCACGAGGTCAAGAGATCGAGACCATCCTGGTCAACATGGTGAAACCCCGTCTCTACTAAAACTACAAAAAATTAGCTGGGCATGGTGGTGCGTGCCTGTAATCCCAGCGGCTCAGGAGGCTGGGGCAGGAGAATTCCCTGAACCCGGGAGGCGGAGGTTGCGGTGGGCCGAGATCACGCCATTGCACTCCAGCCTGGGTAACAAGAGCGAATCTCCGTCTCAAAAAAAAAAAAAAAAAGAGGCACAGCTCCAGTTTCAATTTAGCTTATGAGCAGGTGGAAATCGCTGATCCTGCTGCCCTTCCTGCGCAGGTGGAGAAGGGAGAGTGCCAGGTGCTTTTAGCAGCCCTCGAGCCCTGGGATAAAGGCTGACATGACGCTAACACGAAACCACTGCGCAGCATTTGCAGGAACGAAGGCAGGGGTGAACGCCTGTAACCATTTCCCTGCTGGCCGTATTTCTTATTTCGCCATTTTGATTGTAATGCATTTATGTCTAGAAAGTACTCAGCTTTTATTTTGTGAGAGGGAGTCCCACTCTGTCGCCCAGGCTGGAGTGCAGTGGCACGATCTCGGCTCACCGCAACCTCCGCCTCCTGGGTTCAAGCAATTCTCCCTCCTCAGCCTCCCGAGTAGCTGGGACTACAGGCACACACCACCACACCAGCTAATATTTCCATTTTTAGTAGAGACAGGGTTTCCCCATGTTGGCCAGGCTGGTCTCGAACCACTGACCTCAGGTGATCCGCCCACCTTGGTCTTTTAAAGTGCTGGAATAACAGGCGTGAGCCACCGAGCCCGGCCTTGGCTGTTTTATATTGTTTGTATTTAATTGTGTGCATTTTAACTTTCTCCCAAATTTTGCTTGCAGTCAAAGTTCTTAACATGCAATCTTTAATCTTTGAGGAGTGTTGCACTGGGTTAACTCAATTGATTAAAAGCTCAAATTAGGCCTGGCATGGTGGTTCACACCTGTAATCCCAGCATCGTGGGAGGCAGAGGCAGGTAGATCCCTGGAGGTCAGGAGTTTGAGACCAGCCTGACAAACATGGTGAAACCCCTCTTCACTAAAAAAACAAAAAGTAGCTGGGTATGGTGGCAGGTGCCTGTAATCCCAGCTACTCAGGAGGCTGAGGCAGGAGGATCACTTGATTCTCCGGGAGGAGGAGGTTGCAGTGAGCCGAGATCATGCCACTGCACTCCAGCCTGGGTGACAGAATGAGACTGCATCTCAAAACAAACAAACAAACAAACAAAAACAAAAAACCTGGGCGCGGTAGATCATGCCTATAATCCCAGCACTTTGGGAGGCCAAGGCAGGCAAATCGCGAGGTCAGGAGTTCGAGACCAGCCTGGCCAGCATGGTGAAACCGTGTCTCTACTAATAATACAAACATTCGCAGGGCATGGTGGCGGGCGCCTGTTGTCCCAGCTACTTGGGAGGCTGAGGCAGGAGAATTTTTTGAACCTGGGATGCAGAGGTTGCAGTGAGCTGAGATTGTGCCATTGCACTCCAGCCTGGGTGACAGAACGAGATTCCTGTCTCACCAAAAAAAAAAAAAAAAAAAAATCATGACCTAAAAAGTCTCCCTCCCACCCTGTTTATCATCTGTTCAGTTCCCAGATCCCTCAACCTCTATTTTTAGTTTCTTGGTTATCCTTCTAGAGAATTTATACAAGCTACTATGGAAATATGTTATTTTTCCCTTTCCTCTTTGTTTTTACCCAAATGCTAGCACGCTGCCCAGCCTTTTTTGTTACAACATACCCTGCTGATCTTTCCATAAAACACAAAGAAGCTTCCTTACTCTCTCGGTACAGCTGTGTAATATTCTACCAGATGGAGGTCCCACCACGTAACCAATCCTTTACTGTGGGACATCTGGCTGGTTTCCAATCTTTTGGCGTGACATCACTGTAATGGATAACCTTCTATGAATGTCATTATGCACATGTATAAGGATATTTATAGGAAAAAATTCTGGGACTGGGATTTTCATTTGTAATCTTGGTAAATACTAATTGCCCTTAACGCACAGTGTCAACGTACCCCCCTACCAACAATGTTTCAGAGTGCTTGTTTTTCCTTTTTTTTTTTGAGATGGAGTTTCACTCTTGTTGCCCAGGTTGGAGTGCAATGGCGTTATCTCGGCTCACCACAACCTCCGCCTCCCGTGTTCAAGCGATTCTCCTGCCTCAGCCTCCCCAGTAGCTGGGATCACAGGTGCGTGCCACCACACCTGGCTAATTCCGTATTTTTAGTAGAGACAGGGTTTCTCCATGTTGGTCAGGCTGGTCTCGAACTCCTGACCTCAGGTGATCTGCCCACCTCAGCCTCTATGCTGGGATGACAGGCGTGAGCCACTGTGCCCGCTGAGTGCTTGTTTTTAGCCTGGTCCATGCAGGGTGATGTCAAATTTTGAATTTTACTAGTATAACAGGTGAAAATAATTATCAATAT